GGAATGCTTCGGGCTTGTTATGTGATAGAAATGTACCCCTCAAACTTAAGGGAAAATTCTATAAGATGATAGTGAGGCCTGCAATGCTTTATGGTGCCGAATGTTGGCCATTAAAAGAGAAGCATAATACTAAGTTAAGTCTGACAGAGATGAGGATGCTCAGGTGGATGAGTGGCTTTACCCTTAGAGATAGGATACGAAATGAGCATTTACGTGGAAAGGTTGGAGTAGCTCCAGTAGAAGATAAGATTAGAGATAGTCGCCTTAGATGGTTTGGTCACATAAAACGGCGGCCTTCCGATGGAGAGTAAAGGTATTAGAGTTGACTTATGTTAAGAAAGGTAGGGGTAGACCTAAAAAGACTTGGTTAGATTATATTAGGAATGACCTTTGTTTATTAGATTTGAACGAAAATTTGGCTTTTAATAGGTCACAATGGAGAAAAAGGATTCATGTAACCGACCCCACGTAGTGGGATAAAGGCTTGATGTTGTTGTTGTAGGAAATTAAATGTGTAGGAGAGAATTCTAAGGAGATTGATAGTTTAAGATTTGAACTATCGTATTCTGATAGGAGTCACACTAGAAATAGTGTAGGTGTGGTTATAGATAAGAGTTTGAAAGATAATGTTATAAAAATTAATAGAATTGGAGATAGAATTTTAGTTTTAAAGATTGTTTTTAATACTAAGATTATTATTAAAATAAGTGCTTTTGCTTCTGTTAGACCGGCCCAGGATGGGCCGGTTGGACCGGTCCAGCAGGAACCGGTCCGCGTCTACGCGAGACGCACGCGAGAGAGCCGCCTGGGCGAAAACGGCTCTGCCGTGAGCCGTGGAGTTTAGGAGGGAAATTTTGAACGTAAAAGGCTGTTTTAGGAAGTTTATGATTGTCCTTTATGATTAATTTTGTATAATTAGGAGTTTGGGGGGGAATTAGCTCCTCATCTTGAATTTGAGTTTTCTCTTTGAGATCTAGGTTTTGTTTTGGGCTCTTGGCTTTGCCGGAGACTTTGGAGAGTACGTTCTTCCTCTCGAATCGAAGAACAAATTGTATCTTTGCTATTTTCATCATCTACTAGTAAAATACCGGTGTTTTCTCCTAGTCTCCAGCAGTTTTCCTCGTTTTTTCTACTGTTTTGGGCTGATTTCCTGCTGTGGACAGCAGCTCGCCTTGAGATTTGTTGCTAAAGTGATTAGGGAATACTTGAAATCAAGTATTTCCTATCAGCTTCTCAAGTGGGTTTGGAAATGTGTTCAAAATTAAAATTTTTGAATGACCTAGAAAAATTTATACAAATGATACTTCTTGAATTTTGTTTTCGAGGAGATTTAAATAGACATGTTGGTAGAGAGGTAAATGATTTAAAAACATTCATGGTGGCTATGGCTTTGGAGCAACTAATGATGGTGGTAAGACTATATTATATTTTTCTTTAGCTTTTGATTTTATAATTGTTAAAAACTTATTTAAGAAAAGAGATGAGTAAAGAATAAATATAGTAAAACTTAAATTGATTATTTTCTTATAAGAAAAAAATAGACCGTTCATTTAGATTGCCAGTATTATAAAGTTATTTCGAGTGAAAGATTATGTATCAAACATTGCTTATTAGTTTTGGAATTTAAGATGGAGAGACAGATTTTTAAAAATAAAGTAAATCGTTATTCTATTATTAAATGTGGGCATTTAAAGATTCTTAACAAAAAAATTTGTTTAGAGTAAGATTTTAGATCATAAGATTTTATCTGTGTGCATGAAGAAGCTAATGTTATGCGGGAAAATGTAGCTAGTGATATTAAGAATGTTGCAAATGATGTGTTTGGAGTATCAAAGGGAAAATCAACTAATAGTAAAAATAATTGATAGTTGAATCAAAATGTGTAAGAGAAGATAAAAAATTAAAATATTTGTTATAAAAATTTGCTTGGCCGTAAAAACTATGATCATTAGAAAAGATATAAAGAGGCCCGTAAGGTATCTAAGAATGCAATTTGCTATGCAATAATTTTTGTTCTTAATGATTTATATAATAGATTAGATATTAAGAAGGGCGAAAGATATATGTATAAGTTAGCTAAAAAAAAATTTATGAGCAATAATAATTTAGTTCAAGTGAAGTGTATTAAGGATGAAAATAAATAAAAAAATTTATTAGAAGAAGATATTCAACAATGGTGGATGAAATATTTTGCTAAACTTTTTAATGAAGATTATGAGAATACAATTGACTTTAATATCATTAAAAGAGAAGCATAATATTAAGTTAGGTGTTGTAAAGATGAGGATGCTTAGGTGGATGAGTGGCTTTATTCTTAAAGACAAGATACGAAATGAGCATATATGTGAAAAGTTTTGAGTTGCTCCAGTGGAAGATAAGATTAGTGATAGACGCCTTAGATGGTTTGGTCATATAAAACGGTGGCATTCCGACGAACCAGTTAGTAAAGTAAATGTATTAGATTGGACTTATATTAAGAAAGGTAGAGGTAGACCCATAAGACTTAGCTAGAAAATATTAGAAATGACATTTCTTTATTAGATTTAGATGAGAATTCGACCCTTAACAGGACACAATAGAGAAAAAGGATTCATGTAGTCGGCCCGACATAGTCGGATAAAGGCTTGTTATTGTTGTTGTTAATGTTGTAGGCTTTGACGGACTAGTCTTGAAGTAGATGCACTTAAAATTAGCAATATTTTTAAATTTACACTGATTCAGAAGGAGATTTTCACTTGACACCAATAATTGCTTTAAGATGCTTCAGCATTTTCGTTGTCTTCCCAGAGACCGCTGTCTCCCATTGTACATTTTGAACCAATTCTTTTTCTATTTCCTCTTTAATAGAGGGTACGAAAGAGGACGTGATATCAGTGTTTATTCTCTCTTAGGATGAACTAAAATAATGTTTGATAGTGTAAATTCTCCTTTTCGGTATTTTCTAGTCAATCATTGAAGGCGTAGCAATTCTCAATAGGATGGTTGATTAACAAGTGATATGGACAATAATTTGGATTGTCGGTGTGATCAGCCTCCTCAAGTCTCTTGTATTCTGGCAGTTCTAAACCAGTTCTAAGTGCTTGCCGAAATAATTTGGAAACACTTTCCCCTTGAATGAATATTTTTTATTCATTTTATTTTTTGAGTGATGGGTTTGGTTGATCACTGGTTGTAATCCCTATTTGTTTTAAGGCTCAATGTTTTCTTTTTTTCTTAGGGTTACCTTTTCTTTTTTATCGGCGAATTTTAATCATCTTGCTCTGTTTTCCCTAGTTAGCCTATTCAAGCAAAAGAAGTAAAAAGAAAAAGAAAAAGAAATTTAAGTTGGTTTAGCACATGTTCTTTAACAGCTTCCATACTACATCAGTCTTATTGAGCTTGTTTTTAGACAACTTAATTCGACATCATCAATCCTGTTCACTTTTGTTCATTTATATAAATATCATGTTTACTACATCCTTATTTTTTCTTTTTCGGTAGCGTATTAAATACTAGCATGAAGAAATAATTTCTTCAAGCAGTATATCTTAGTGGACCAGAAAAGGTTTTGATCAACGGAAACTTCAGAGAAGATATCTGCTTCTTAAAATCTTAATTTTTTATTTTTTGAGTGTATTATGATCTCATCTTATACACAAGTGGTGTACTGACAGTTTGAAATGCTTTCACATAATATATTGCTGCTACAGAAGCAGCGGACTTACTGCTTTTGGGATCTGCTTGAACTTTATGATTACGTGCTTTCTGTTTTATTTGGATTGCATTACTTCTTTCAATAAATTAAATGAAGTGTATTTGTAGGCACATGTTTACTCCAATGTTCCAGTAAAAATGAATGAAAGACTTCCAAAAAACATGAGCGTTTGCTCGGCATTTCTTGCAAACATTGATGAGCACAAGTCAGTTGCAGTGAAATTTTTTGGCAATGACTACACTTTACCCCCCTGGTCAGTCATCGTATTACCAGATTGCAAGAATCTAGCATTTAACACCGCTCAGGTGAGATTCAGAGCATATTTCACCATTTTCAAAGTGAAGTGCTATTGTGTGTACATGATATGGTATATACTAAAACTCAGTAAGATAAATAATTTAAAGATATAATGTAATTAACATAATAATTTACATATAGTCATTTGTTAGTCTAATATGTTGAAGTCTTCCTATATGAAGAAATTAAATTAACATCTATTTTACTCTTAAGCAATATATATAATTGGAGACAAATTTTTTGGCAAAACATTTGATGTTTAGGTATTAACAATATTTCATAAAAAAGTGTGCACAAATCATTCTGTTAATTAGGCATCTAAAAATTTCTTTTATTAATTACATACATCATATATAGTTCTTTATTTTTGACTTTATGACATATCGTATAAGTGGATGTGTTTATTGGCTGTCGAAATCATGAAAGTTACATGCCAAGAATCCTTTTACCTCCATATGGACTTGTCTTTATTGCCCTCCCTGTATATGTCAACATATGCATTTTAATTGAGGACCCTTTTGCCTCCCAATAGGCTCGCCTGTGTTACTCTATCTATATAGGTTATCACATTATCAACTTATTCATATATATGATCTTTTTGAAGTTTATTCCATTAAATTTCATTTTTCAAACTTCTAGTGTTTTACATAACATTTTTCATATTATAACCTATATGCATACACTTTCAAATTGAATAAAATAACTTTTAGTACGGGATAAATAAACTTCCCTTTAAAAGACACGTAATGAAATTTAATCCAATTAACATATCACTTTACACTTTATATTTCACTTAATTTTATTTTTAACAAAGTAACTTTCTAAAATTAGAACTTCAATAAAATTATTTTCAAAAATTAAAAGTGCATATCTTACTTATTTGAGTGTGTTGAAGATCAATCCCCATATAAGCTGTTTTGCTACCAATTTTCCAAAGTCTTTATCAGCAGCAGATCTAAAAAATAAGTTTAATGTGTAAAAATCTCAATTCCTACTTAAGGCAGAGTTAGCATTCAATTCAAGCTTAAAAATCTCAACAAAATTTCTCATCATGTAAATCTCAAGTTCCTCAACTTTTATTTGTTATCAATTCCACCAAAGAACATGCTAAAACACAATATTTACTTTAATTTTCTTGCTTTCCCATTTTTTTTAGTTCTTCCTTTGGCTAGCTCCCAATTTTCCTTCTAGTTGCTGTCACGGATGAGAGCTTCCAGTTGGATCAAAGTGTAGTGGTTTGTTGACCTCTGTGTAAAGAACAAAAGAAATAAAAAAAAATCAGATCAAACCTTGTATCCACGAAACCGGCCGAAAACCCGCTGTTCGGCGCCGTCTGCAGCATATCCCGAAAATCATGCGTAAATCCTGCTCAAATTATGCGATCCGTAGCTCCGCTCGCGTCGTTAAATACCGGATCCAAACGAAGCTTTTCTCCTGCTCGCTACTTCCTCTCCACGACACTCCCACTCTCGGCTTCTCCTGCAACCCCTCGTCCTTACCTCCCTAGCCTTGAGATCCTTCCGCCTGTAGCCCCTCGACGGAGCCAAGACCACCACGATTGTAGCTGAATCATCTCCCTGTACCGACCTCACCACCTCCGACCTCCACCTTCCGTCGCCTCCTGTTTCCCGCCGATCCAGAAGAGAATGCGAGAGGGAGAGCAAGGAGGAAGAGAGAGAGGAGAAGGAAGACCTACCGTTAGCCCGCCTCCCCTTGTCCGACTTTCCCTTCTTTCGGTTTGGAAGTTCCGACATTTTGATCTCAAGCAAAACAGGAGCTCGGCTTGTGAAGTAACTTTCTCCTTTCATGCTCTTTTAACCGGATCCAGTGAGCAGAGAAAAGAAAGGGGGACGAGGTTAAAAACTTTTAATTAACTTTAAATAATAATAAAATTATTAATCATAATTTTTGATTAGTTGTTTAATTATGATTAATTAATAATTAATAGTTAATTATTATTATAATTATTTAATTAAATATAATTAATTTCGATTAATTATAGTTAATTATAAATAATTATAAATATAATTAATTTATTAATTGTAATTAATTAATATTAAGTAATTTAATTGATAAATTTAATTACTTAATTATTATTATAATTAATGCTAATTATAAAAGATATATGACAGTAAAAAAAAAGAGAGAAATGCTTCTCTTCTCTCTCCTCGATCCTCGAGCCATGATCTAACCAGAGACCTCGCCAAGGTATAACTCTCTAACCCTAAAACTCCGAGAAACCCATTCAACGCATTCGTCGAGACAAAACGACACCTATACACCTTTCTCTTAGCGTGGTGGGACGGAGTGCGTCACGACGCTTGCGACGAAGCGGGTAATCACCCAAATTCCTTCTTCGAAGTTCGTATCGCCTTGGAAACCCCGCCTATACACGCTTTTCTTAGCGTGGTGGGAAGGGATCCCGGTGCGATGCGCACGATGAAGCGGGGATACCCATAAGTACCCGATTGCGGGGAAATAACTGCTGTTCTTGCAAAATACTTTCAAAAAATACTTTTCTTGCAAAATATTTTCAAAAATACCCATGCACGCTTTTCTTAGCGTGGTGGGGGATCGAAAAATTACACGGCCGCGGTGTCCTCGAAAGAGGGCATCTACCATGCACGCTTTTCTTAGCATGGTGGGAAAGACTCAGTTTTCCGTAGTTTTCTCCTAAACGGGGGAGACGCCGGAAGGCTGCCGAAATTTCGGGTGAAATATTGCTACATTTGGATCTCATTTGAACTCAAGAGAACAATTTGGGATTTGAACTTGATTGCACTCGAATACATGCAAGAACGACGAAGGACTTATACTTGGACCTTTGAACAATATCTAAGTGACTTAAATAAACTTGAATCAAATAAAAGAAATGTGCAAATGACAAAGAACTTGAAACTTGTACTTGTGGACATCAAACTTGAACAAGACTACAAAACTTGATTGGAACATTAAGCCGACAGGGCTTGGACTTGAAAAAGATATAAGAAACTTTGACATGAAACTTTTGAATGATAATTTCTAATATGCAAAGATCATCTTAATTGGGATAAAGATGTTGATAAGTGATGATGTTAGACTTATCATGCATATTGAATCATTAAAGTAAGAAGTTTGCAAATGAAGTTCGTTCGTAAGCAATAAAAGAAGACTAAGGAACTTGGTTTAATTATAAATTCATGATATAAGCTTTTGGACCATACCTATTGATTCATAAGATCAGAGCTAGTTCATCCCTAATCTACTTGTAGTAAATGTATTGATTCACTAGAAGGGCTCTTGATGAATATGATGATTCGTGGTTTGCTTGTAACCAATACCGGAGATTCATCTACGATCATACACAAAGGATGTAACATGTTTGTGAGCAATATCAGAAGAGCTATAATGAATAGAAATATTTATTATGCTCAAGGATTCAATCATCATTTGATTTGCAAGCAACCATCAAGAAGGATTAAGGACACATGATCTACCCATAAGCAAGAACTTGCCAACTTTTGACAGTGAAGAAGACTCATTTTGGGCTTGGTTTTAAGCTCAAGTCAGAACTGGGTTTTGAATTAATGATTTAGATCTTAACCCAAACTAAAGTCTAATGTTTGGAAGTGAAAGTCATATATCATAACAATGATGAAATCAAAGATAAGTAAGTGAAGAAAGATTAAGTCTTCAAGAGATATATAAACAAGGAATGCTGAGGTGGAATTATCTCGAATTGTTCAATCAAATCAATCTACATACAAACAATCATGCCTATTTGTTACAAAAATAAGACCCAAATGTAGCCGAACGTATCGAGCCTTACAAGCAATGAGGCTTATGCTAAATAGAACTTCAATGTTGATTAGTGATGGTATGCATCATGGTAAGTTGAAACAAATAGGAGACTCATCACATACAAGTAAAGGCATTTACAAACAGATGAAGAGAGGTCTCTTTCATATAGAAGTTTAGTCAAAGGTGACAACAGATGAGATGCAGTGAATGTCAAAACCACCTCATAATCAGCAGTCATTTAACATCAATCAAAAGCATTGATTCCCTACGATCAAAAGAGTTGAATCCAAACACACAAAGCATATGAGAGGCATAAGCAAATGTATCAAATCTCAGTAAGCTATGGTGATTAGCATGCGATAATTGCATAAATATGCTCACAATCAATATGTTGGGAGAAATAAATGATAGATGCGAGCTCCTACAAGTCAACATAGGAAATCTCTTTCATATGCAAAGCACCTATAAACTGTTTTAGCAAGGATATTATGGCATCTTTACAACTAACAACCATCCAATGGAGGACAGATACACTCAAGTGGTATGCAATTAAGGTTGTGATATCACTACAATTGAGGTCGGCTCACTGGTAGACAAACACAACTATTCCCTGGGAACTATGTGATCGACGAAATTATTTGAGGATAATATTAGTGATTATGTAGTAAGTGCAACAAATCCCCTATTGATACAAGTACACATGTTCTCTGCGAGCAAAGATATAAGGCTACGACGAATCCAAATTCCTGCAACCTGTCGTGGGAAGCTTTTCATGTATGTAAAGTGTCATCTACAAGCAAAGACGAATGTCATGTAATAAATGCAAGCATCAACCAACAAAAGGCAGGAGATTAGTTAGTGCACTATGACCCGCCTACGAAAATCAACAAATAGTGCACGACAGTTTACTTGTAAGAAGCAGCGAACAACTCTATCCAGAAGCTGCTACGCCACGCCACCGGATCCGCAACTTCTATGCAAGCGGACAGAAGGCGTCTACAAGTACTTTCAAAGTACCCCTGCACGTGCACTATAAATTGTATACACATAGGTACACTAAAAGGGGTAAAAATAATTATAAAACCCGCATGGGCCCCGGCGAGCGTGTTATTGGTACATACGTGACGTCTAGGGATGCTGCGCGGGTTGACAAGTGAATTCAGGTTCGAAACCGATCCTTCTATACGGGTCAATAGAAGTCTACAGGGTTCGAACCATTAAGCAAATA